ATATTATGTTAGTATGGTTGTTAAATTGTATGTATAATGTCACAGATATATATTATGTTAGTATGGTTGTTAAATTGTATGTATAATGTCACAGATATATATTATGTTAGTATGGTTGTTAAATTGTATATATAATGTCACAGATATATATTATGTTAGTATGGTTGTTAAATTGTATGTATAATGTCACAGATATATATTATGTCAGTATGGTTGTTAAATTGTATGTATAATGTCACAGATATATATTATGTCAGTATGGTTGTTAAATTGTATGTATAATGTCACAGATATATATTATGTCAGTATGGTTGTTAAATTGTATGTATAATGTCACAGATATATATTATGTCAGTATGGTTGTTAAATTGTATGTATAATGTCACAGATATATATTATGTCAGTATGGTTGTTAAATTGTATGTATAATGTCACAGATATATATTATGTCAGTATGGTTGTTAAATTGTATGTATAATGTCACAGATATATATTATGTTAGTATGGTTGTTAAATTGTATGTATAATGTCACAGATATATATTATGTTAGTATGGTTGTTAAATTGTATGTATAATGTCACAGATATATATTATGTTAGTATGGTTGTTAAATTGTATGTATAATGTCACAGATATATATTATGTTAGTATGGTTGTTAAATTTTATGTATAATGTCACAGATATATATTATGTTAGTATGGTTGTTAAATTGTATGTATAATGTCACAGATATATATTATGTTAGTATGGTTGTTAAATTGTATGTATAATGTCACAGATATATATTATGTCAGTATGGTTGTTAAATTGTATGTATAATGTCACAGATATATATTATGTTAGTATGGTTGTTAAATTGTATGTATAATGTCACAGATAAATATTACATTTAGCTCCATGATATGTATGATTACAATATATGCAATAAAATATGTTTAAATCAATCTTGAATAGGAGCACAAAAACCTAGATATTACATAAAAAGGTGACTTGAACTTTGTAACTTCTTATTAGGTTTTGATACAAATTACAAATAAGAATTCTAATTCTCCTAATAAGTTTTTAAAATTTCGTATTAGGAAATGCAAAGTCTTTATTAGTTTTAGACATTATTAAAACGTCACACCAGCACGTAACATGTTGCGTTGTTGCATACTATACTAAATCAATGTTTTTGGGATTTTTTATACATTTTAATTGCAAACAAAAAAGACATTTAAAGTGAATTAGGCTATGGCGGAAAGTATGCAATATCATAAATATTCATGGTGATACATGAAGTATAAAATTATCATGTGTGATAACAGACCATGAAAGAATTACATGTGGATGTTGATAATAAGTACTTCTCGAACAAAATATTATTTATTTATCTTATCAATGCCATATTAAATCATTTGATTTATCATTTATATTTGAAATATTTTTTTGAAAATGTGCCCATTGTAGACAAATCCACTTAAAAAAGCAGTTTCCATGTTGATCGGCATATTAATCGGGACATTCCTTTATGTCCTAAAGTTACTAAATATAAACAAACAATTTTTCAATGTGTATTGTAATTTAATATTACTACCTTACTTAATTTCTTCTTAATAAACATCTTGCGACATTTAATGACGGTGTTGCGATATTTACTGGTAAGGGAAAATCGTGCGACATTTAACGTTACTGTTGTGACATTAATCGCCAGTAGACTTTGCGACATTTAGCGACAATGGTGCGACATTTAGCGGCGTTGCGACATATAACGGCGCCACAAATGTTACTCGTGGATAAAAAAGTAAAACTGCTTATGTTGCTAGAATTTGTTGTTCAACTCTTTTGCCATTTGTTAAAATATGTTTCTTAAATTGTATTCAGAGGGTAATAAATTATCATTAAACTAAAGTCGGACCTGGTTCATTTAGCACATGCTTTCATGCCATTATAAAATCAAAATACATAGTATTATTAACTAATAGTTTGATTGATTTCAGGTATATTCCACTTTCTCACTTATTATTGTAATTTGATTTAGTCGTGGTGAATAGGAGCAAATTGCAGGTTTCTAATGAAAGGCTGGACTTTTTTCACATCATCGTTCAAATGTTATAGATACTTGTTACAGAAGTTTTGTTTCTGTTTAGTGTGTGTTTAGTTTTATTTTAGCTCGACGCCGGAAATTCTATATGTCCGAGATCTTGAGCAGCGTCCATGCCGGTCCACTCTAGAAGTCTCATCGGTGACGTCTTTTTCAAGCCGATCTTCCTTAACCTGTTCTTCGTTTGTTGGAGGAAAAGACAATACTGGCAAAGCATCATGTTCCGTGATTGCAGCAAACAGGCTGTTAACATAAAACGGCTCTTGTTAGCGCCACCCTCTGGAGTTGGTCACGACAGGTCCACCAATCGTCTCTGGTACTTAAGACGACTTGACCTTGACTTTCTCATTGTGCATTCTCCGCGACGTGCACGCCTCGGGAGGGATTTGTTTCTGTTGCTGACAGTTTAACCCTTTATAGAGTGTTTTCACTGCTTGATCGGCCTAAAAGGTATGGTGGCTGATTTAAAACACTTTAGTGCGTCGTGCTGTCGCTAGCCAAAAGGCGCGTTGTCGCACTGTCGTCTTGTCGCGAACGAAGCACACCAAACGGCTCGTTGTCGTGTGACGTGTTGTCTGATTGGCTGTTTGTATATAAAAGCCAAGCGACAATGCGCCGTTTTGCGTGCTTCGCTAGCGACAGGACGACAAGATATAGAGGATATTTGTTTAGTTCAGTGTAAGATCGAAATATATTTCACAGAGTGAGCACCAAAGGTATATTTCACGAGTGGCGCAGCCACGAGTGAAATATGAACTTTTGATGTTCACAAGGTGAAATATATTTCGATCTTACACTAAACTAAACAAATTTTCTTTTTATTATATGCAAAGAAACGTTTTAAAAAGACATTAAACCTAATACTGAATGAAAAGCGCGCCAAATAATAATACAACGTGACGTCATTTACGACGTCACGTCATTAAGTTGGTACCCAGTACTGTGCACGCTGGTTTTTCACTGAAACAACGTAAGGGGCTTAAATTCAAAACAGTGATATTATCAAAGTGGTAATTTCACTGTTTCAAACAGTGAAATTACCAGTTTTAAATCACTGAAATATTTCTATAAACCACCGAAAAGCATGTAATAAATAACGATATAGGCTGTGTTGTCGCTATCGGCAACGCAACGCACAAAGTGTACCAAATCAGCCACCATATATTTGAATTAATTTGGTAACAAAGACTATCCACTAGGCCAGAAACTTTTACGCGAAAATGATACATTTTTATTACATGCTTTTCGGTGGTTTATAGAAATATATCAGTGATATAAAATTGGTAATTTCACTGTTGGAAACAGTGAAATTACCACTTTGATAATTTCACTGTTTTGAATTAATCCCTTACGTTGTGAACAGTGAAATACCAGCGTGCACAGTACTGGGTACCAACTTAATGACGTGACGTCGTAAATGACGTCACGTTGTATTATTATTTGGCGCGCTTTTCATTCAGTATTAGGTTTAATGTCTTTTTAAAACGTTTCTTTGCATGTAATAAAAAGAAAATTTGTTTAGTTTAGTGTAAGATCGATATATATTTCACCTTGTGAACACCAAAAGTTCATATTTCACTCGTGGTTGCGCCACTCGTGAAATATACCTTTTGGTGCTCACTCGGTGAAATATATTCCGATCTTACACTGAACTAAACAAATATCCTCTATATAAATATTCAGGATCCAATAATGATTCACAGTTAGTATATGGTTTATACATGTATACTAAAAGATGTCTGTGGTGGCAGATTTGGTACACTTTGTGCGTTGCGTTGTCGATAGCGACAACACAACCATTATTTGTATCACCTCTTCGTCTTGTCGCTAGCGAAACGCGCCAATCGGCGCGTTGACACACTGTCGTCTTGCCGTCCTGTCTCTATCGAAGCACGCCATACGGCGCATTGTCGTGTGGAACTACATTGTAGGCTAATACATGTATTTGGAATTGTTTCCTCCAGAATTGCTTGGTTAGCCAATGGATCATGTCATTTAGGAGGAAATATGTTGATGAATAAATAAAGAATATGACAGAGTAATGCCCCGGTCATGTCATAGTCATATGTATTAAATGTTTATTATATAGGTAATTTAAGTATTTTTCAACTTAAAATAAAAAAAGTTACCGTGATAATTGGATAAATTAAGCAGACGACGTCTTAAGTAGTTCCGTTATAGTCACGACCATCCATTGGTTTATTCTCACAGACGCTTGTGGTTTGGAGCTCAAAACGCCTTTAAAATCCAAATAAAATGCATATTTGTCAATCCCAGGACATGTACTGATCATATATATCAAAAAATCTTAATATATGCCGTTTTGAAAAAAAATCATATTTCAACAACTATAATAATATTATAGTTGTTGAAATATGATTTTTTTTCAAAACGGCATATATTAAGATTTTTTGATATATATGATCAGTACATGTCCTGGGATTGACAAATATGCATTTTATTTGGATTTTAAAGGCGTTTTGAGCTCCAAACCACAAGCGTCTGTGTTTATTTTCAAAATATGCTTACTACGTGCATTTTTCGGTGTCAAATTATTAATTTTATTCTATGTAAAAGTAAGAACATGTATACAATATATCATACTAATAAATGCATTATAGAAATCTAATCAGGAAATGTTTAGATATATAGTCAATACAAAAGGGATTCTAGATAAAATTATATAAATGCGAACCGATCAAATATCGTTACAACTTCTCATCTAGATCTATCTCCCTTCCATTATATGTCATCGTTAAATATAATATGTTTTTTCTTATAGCTTTCTTTTTTGTATGCAATTTTTATTCGATTCATAGCACTTTACTATGAACTGCCTCTGAATTTAAGAATGCAAGATTTCTGTTTAATATACCGAATAAATTGAGTACGAATTAAATGTGTGGTCTAGGGGAGTTAAATGTCCGCTTCGTCGCTGCAAGAAAATAAACATTAGATAGGCCTTAAATTAACAAAATTACAGATATTGCCTTAACAAAATTACAGATATTGCCATGGAGTTTCCACTGATTTCTTCCATTCAAAGAGTAAATATTTATGAAACAAAAGCGGTAAGTTTAGTCATACTTTTATTAGATCACATCATTCTTTCATCGATTATAATTATGAATCAGTTCGTACCTAAAATTATTCGTACTACGGAAGTTTTCCTCATTTGCTTATACAAGTTTTGCCCGATAAAAATTTAATTTGTACTGGTATTCTTATTGTGACTAACATTAAGGTGTAAACTAAACAGTTGTTTCGTTTGTGAATCATCAAATAATACCGCTATGTTCCTGATGCATTAGACTAATTTTTCCTATTAATAATTGTAAAATAACCATTGAATATTAATCCTGCAGAACAAAATAAAGTCTATCCAAAATTGATCCAAATGCCTGGAACTAAGGATAACTATGCTCTTTTTTCTAAAGATAACTTAAAATTGATAAAAGCCATTTTTGCAAATAGGCCTACAGTCAAACCTGTGAAAAGGGTCAAACATGGCCTTTATAAACAAGTATATAGGCATTATTTGGACATAACTTTGTTCTTTTTAATAATTGATGGATTTTGGAAAGTGGCCTTTATTTAAAGGGTGTTTTTTTATTCAGAGTTGGTGTTTAAAACAGGTTTGACTGTATGTTTTGATTCAACAGTCAAGGTAGATGTTATTTAGTCTACTGAATAGTCTATTTCTTACCATCACATATATATGTTACATATAATGTAGGTCTAGTCTGATTTTATTGACCTGTCAATTATGAATACCTTACAGGACTCATTTAAATATTCGATCCCACTTCGGTTTGGTCCGTGTAGTTTACGAGAATTAATGTGGAGTATATTAGTCATGGATTGAAAGTCACGCCAGCTTAATGTGAAGGTTTTCGTTAAGTCACCATAGCACAGTCTGTTAAGAGAATGCCTGATAATTGAGATGTCTGTGGTTCAATCCTTACTGTTGCCACTAGTACTCTTTCTTATTTTTGCAGTATATTCTAATGGAACAGACTTGTAGTGTGTTTTACGGCATTGAAAATACATTTATTGATTTTAATCCATTTTAATTTTTTAACATGAATTCTTAAAACATGTTATTTAAATGAGTATAGACATAACAAAATTAAAATAATGTTGAAAGTATTAATAAAAAAACACATGGACCAACGCGGTCTCGAATTTAAAACACGTGTGGCAGTTAGATTATAAACTCGTGCTTTACCCTATTGCACCATAACGCTGAGTGCACTTAGTTTATCGATACAAATTAAATTAAATTCTATCGTACAGCGTACATCTCACGGAACTTACCGAAAATCTACCGATGATTAATATACTCTGTGCATCGACCGTGTAATCAGTATGTAATTGACAGGTTAATAAAACCAAACAATATCCACATGTAATTGTTTTTCTTTTTTCAGAGGTTCTATATTGTGGGTTCCAACAATACCGGGACTACATATCGAGTCCTTAAAGTTGATAGAACAGAGCCAAAGGAACTCCATATTCATGATGACAAGGTATTTTATGCATAGAAATTTATTAGATATCCTCGAAATTATTTGATGCACACGTACACCATTTATAAATATCATACTGTGACAGTGTGTTTATTTATTCTTTTGCTACAGATTATATAACAAGTACACATAGAGTGATGGTTTAAACATATTTGTTTAAGCTCGATTGCGAAGCAAGTTCTTGCAACTTATATTAATCACTTTCGAGTCCGCTTCCTGGAACCAACCAGTACTGGTGTCGTATGAAGAAACATGGTCATGACCCGAGTAGGGCTCGATCCCATGATCTCTGGGTTGAGAGGCAGACACCTTAACCACTAGGCCACCGCTCCCCTTGTGATATACTCATAGAAGGTTTTTATAAAGGTTTTATGCCTTGATTTAGGCAAACTTAAATGATGGCTGATCATCTCTAAGAAATGACACAGCTTCTCTAATATATTGATCAATGAATTCTCTTTTATCAAACAATTTATATGATCATAAAGTAGGACTGTGAGCAGTTAGTTATATCTGTTGTCTCCTCATTTTCAGCATATTTACAGCCATCTGGAAATAATGAACTTATTGACAACAATAGAATCAGGTAACAGAACAACAACCAAGCAAAAACAACAGTCAACTGGACTTACAAAGAGCGTCTCTGCATATGGTATAGTAGGTAAGTATCTTTATACAGATTTTAAAGTATCAAATTGCTTTAAAGGGACTCGCCCATTTTTTGACAGGTAACAGGACTAGAAATAATTTTTCAAGAATAATGTTCCATTTGATTTAGGTATAGATCAGTAACTTGTGTGAAAATTTTCAGATCATTCATTCATTCACTCAGGTTTTTCCAGAATAATTATTCCAATTATTGTGAAAAATGAGCCAACATTGAAAAACATTGCAATGCTTTAAACTCAAATTGGGCTAAACATAGCACAAAACTATGATTTTTTCAATCTATTTTCTTTTCAAGGTTTTGTGAAGTTCCTAGAAGGTTACTACATGGTGCTAATCACAAAGAGGAGTAAGGTGGCCCTCATTGGCGGGCATACTATTTACAAGATAGAGGACACAGTGATGCAATATATACCTAATGATGGAGTCCGATACACGCATCCTGATGAACCTAGGTTAGTGCACAAAGTTCAATATATAGAGGATATTTGTTTGTTTGTGTGTAAGATGAAATTTTATTTCATCGAGTGGGCTTTAAAAACAGTATTCTCACGAGTGGCGTAGCCACGAGTGAGAATACTGTTTTTAAAGTTCACGAGATGAAATAAAATTACATCTTACACAACAAACAGACAAATTTTCTTTTTATTTTATGCTTAAAAACAAGTTAAAACGAAATTTCCATAATTTTAATGTTAATATTAAAATCTGTTTCCCCCATTGAGAGCCCCATTTAGACGGAATTTCTCATTTAAAACAAGAAGTCTTGAGCTGAAAAATAAGTCCGCCAATCAAGGTTAAATGACGGTGATATTTATTCATTTTATTAAAAAAATATGAATGATCGCTTGTTTAAATAATAAAAACAAACAATTCTTGTAGGAGAAAAAGTCCAACCATCCATCCATACTTCTGTTACTTACTGCGAATTTATATTAGACCTGGCTTTGTAAAATGTAAGCGGCAGCCATTTTTTAAAGTTGTGTATTTCATGGGGAGGAAAATAATTGTGTAAGATTCAGAAGGATATAATTTGGATTTGTTAGTCATACACCTTTTTAAAAGAAAGAAAACTTATTTGAGGATTGTAACAGACAAAAAATAAGTGTTGACAGAAGTGAAAACATTCAGAAAAGGAGCTAGGAAAATGGAAAACTTGGAAGCTTGCTAAGGACATGAAGGAACGCTGGGTTGTTTTACTTATTTTACGAGTGATGGCTGTCAATGCTTTTCAATTTTTCATAAAGCATACGGCAGTTATTGCTCGTAGGATACTTTAATATGCCCAAATGTCATCAAGAGCAGTTTTGCATGGGGAAGGAATGTATTTTTCAGACTGTAAAAACAAACAAAAAAATTTAGAGACGAAATTTGGTAATTGGAATTTGAAGGAATAGAAGTAAGTTTTCTCTCTTTATTACTTTTGACATTCAAGTTATTTATCTATTTCAGCTTTGCTATTTCTTTGAACAGCCTGACATTGTCAGAACTGTCAGTAAAAATAAAATTGAGGTACCACATGGGGAAAATCTTAAAAAAGTAGTTTCGTCATTGAAAAAAGTGAAATTATATTTTGATAATTTTCACTGTGAAATTATCAAATATAATTTTCACGGATAAATCAGTAATCCACTGAAAAGCATAAAATAAATTAATGATAGTTAACCTGCTAAATTTATATAATGGATTCACCTAGCTTTTGATTTGGAATGTTCCATTTACTGTTTAAGGGATTTTAATATTAAAACACAAAAATTGGTGGTAAGCTACCTGCAGTATAAAATTAATATGATTTTAGGAATTGTGATATATCTCAAAGCAATACAAACTAGTACTGTAATATGGTATTCAAAGTTTGAAAAAAAATGAAGAAAGATATTAAAGGAAATTTCAATTTAAGTTTGGCTTTGCACCTACTAAGAGAACTTAACTCTTACCATGCTAATTTTGTTTCTGTTTTAAGTAGGAACTTATGTAATTAAAAGCCTTTAGTATATTGTGAATGTAAGAGATTTTCTATAAAAAAATTAAAGGTTAAAGGTTACTCTAACAGTATACACATTTCCTTAAATGAAGGATAATCTTATACAGTTACTTGATCTTAAAAGAAGTCAAAAGATTACCTTGAAATACATGTTCTTTGAATATCAATTAAAGGCAGAAAGCTGTATAATAGCTTGATAAATTTTTGTATATGCTAGTTCTGATAAGACTACAGTCCAACCTGTCTTAAGAGACCAGCCAGTGGTGAAGAGGAAAGTGGTCTGTAAAGACAGGTGGTATCGTAACCCAGGGTCACTTTTTTGCTGAAAAGTTTTATGAAAAAATCTCAAAGCCTTGTGTGTCTTTCTTCATGTATGATGTTTATATGCAAATATTGTAGCTGGGGTTATTAATGATGTATTATGAATTATTCTGTTATTTCATTCATTATGCAGGTATGTGAAGATGTTTCAAAGCGTGGACCTGTCCAGCAACTTTTATTTCAGGTAAATATTTTTTTTATTTTTACTGGTTTCCCAGAGAATGTTTGCTGATTCTATTATGATGTTTACTGATTCCTTAATGAAGTTTATTAAAACCACAGTCAAGTTAATAATTCATAAAATGAAGTTTACTATTTCATTCAATGAAGTTTACTGAATGGCTTATCAAAGTTTACAGGTTACTAAATGAAGTTTACTGATTTCCTTATCAAAAGTTACTGGTTATGCATTGAAGTTTACTGATTCCATAATGAACTTTACTGATTCCACAATGAACTTTACTGATTCCTAAATGACTTTTACAGATTCATAAAAGGTATTAATACATTTTTAGTCCCCTACCGGTTTACCTGAGGGGACTTTAGGTTTACCCTCCGTCTGTCCGTCCCTCTGTCCGTCCGTCAGTACGTCCGTCCACAAAACTGGATCCCGCGATAACGCAAAAAGCACTGAAAATATTTTAATGAAACTTGATATATGGATAGATGGCAGTATGGAGATTATGCACGTCTTTTTCTTTTCTTCCTATGTTGAAAATTCTGGTTGCTATGGCAACAAATAGACTGAAAATATGGCAAATTTTACTCATAACCTGGATCCCGCGCTAACGCAAAAAGTACTGAAAATATTTTTATGAAACTTGATATATGGATAGATGGCAGTATGGAGATTATGCACGTCTTTTTCTTTTTTTTCCTATGCTTAAAATTCTGGTTGCTATGGCAACAAATAGACTGAAAATATGGCAAATTTTACACATAACCTGGATCCAGTGATAACGCAAAAAGTACTGCAAATATTTTTATGAAACTTGACATATGGGTAGATGGCAGTATGGAAATTATGCACATCCTTTTCTTATCTTCCTATGTTGAAAATTCTTGCTATGGCAACAAATAGACTGAATTTCAAGATTTCTGATTCTAGTTTTTAAGTTTTTTCACTAAAAGTTCTTTATTTCTCAAGGTATTTTCTTCAAACTTTAAATATAAGTTGCTAGTCATCAACCACATCATATGTGACAAGGTTTACAACTCTAGCACAAAATTTATCAGAATTACCTCCCTTGAACTTAAAATTTTCATGAAAAAAACATTGTTTTTTTTAATAACTTCTTTTTTTCTGAATGTATCTACTTCAAACTTCGTATAAATGTTTCTTATTATCACTTAACATTTGTGAGTGTTCAATACTCTAGCAAGACTATTTCCAGAATTATGCCTCTTTTGAACTTAGACTTTTTTTTTGAGAAATTGGTAATTTTTACTCCAACTTCTTCAATCATGATAGGATTTTCTTCAAACTCCTACATCATAATAATATGACAAGGTTTATAAATCTAGCATCCATATTTCCAGAATTATCTCCTCCTTAAACTTTTAATTTTTCCTATTCGTTCTTTTAACTTTCATTTACTTCAAATTCAAAATAAACATTCAATATTCATACCTTCATTACTAATTGTTCTTTATTACACTCACATCATGTATGACATCGTTATCTCCTTTTTAAAAATTTTGCTTTTAAAAATGTTATATTTTGAATAACAGGGATGTTTAAAAAAATAACTTTAGAGTGTCCTTCAGTCCGTCTGTCTTTCTGTACATAAAAACTGTTTCCTGTGATCACTTTTAAAGAACTTTTTTCAACAAATTTACTTAAAATAGAAACATAAGTGAATGGCCAATGGCCCTTCAGAATGTTGCTTGGGCTCTTACCGGTAGGGACTTATGGATTGCTTGCAATACTATGATAATTGCTTGTTAAACTTGTTTTTCTTATGTATGTTTCTAGTTATAGCTATGATCTGACTCATACGCTGCAGTATAACATGGAACCTGTTATAAAACCTGGAGACATGAGAAGAACACATGATAAAACTGACAATACTACAGGCATACCTGATGAAAGAAAGCGATACTGGACCTCTAAAAGATGGTAATTTGATATGTTTTAGATAAATTACTTTCAACTGTAGACTTGATTGTACATGAATATTGTCAGGACTTGGCATTTTGGTGGAAGTGGTTTAATAGAACCACTGGTTCATGGAATAAAATTTTATGAACAGATGTGCCAGTGATTTTTTTTTTTAAGCTTTAATTTTTAGCTCACCTGTCACAAAGTGACATGGTGAGCTTTTGTGATCGCTTTTCGTCCGGCGTCCGTCCGACCGTCGTCCGTCCGTAAACTTTTACTTTAAATGACATCTCCTCATAAACCACTAAGCCAATTTCATCCAAACTTCACAGGAATGTTCCTTTGGTGGTCACCTTTAAAAATTGTTCAAAGAATTTAATTCCATGCAGAACTCTGGTTGCCATGGCAACCGAAAGAAAAAACTTTAAATATCTTCTTTTAAAAAACCATAAGAGCTAGAGCTTAGATATTTGGCATGAAACATCTTCTAGTGAGTGTCTACCAAGTTTGTTCAAATAAAAGCCCTGGGGTCAAAATTGGCCCCGCCCCGGGGGTTCATTGATTTTCCCTATATGCATATAGTAAAAACTTAAAAAATCTTCTTTTAAAGAACCCGTAGAGCTAGAGCTAAGATATTTAGCATGAAACATGTTCTAATGGGTGTCTACCAAGTTTGTTCAAATAAAAGCCCTGGGGTCAAAATTGGCCCCGCCCCGGGGGGTCATTGATTTTCCCTATATGCATATAGTAGAAACTTAAAAATCTTCTTTTAAAGAACCCGTAGAGCTAGAGCTAAGATATTTAGCATGAAACATGTTCTAATGGGTGTCTACCAAGTTTGTTCAAATAAAAGCCCTGGGGTCAAAATTGGCCCCGCCCCGGGGGGTCATTGATTTTCCCTATATGCATATAGTAGAAACTTAAAAATCTTCTTTTAAAGAACCCGTAGAGCTAGAGCTAAGATATTTAGCATGAAACATGTTCTAATGGGTGTCTACCAAGTTTGTTCAAATAAAAGCCCTGGGGTCAAAATTGGCCCCGCCCCGGGGGTCATTGATTTTCCTTATATGTGTATAGCAAAAACTTAAAAAATCTTCTTTGAAAAAACCCAAATAGCTAGAGTTAAGATATTAATCATGAAACATCTTTTAGTGTGTGTCTTCAAAGTTTGTTCAAATAAAAGACCTGGGGTCAAAATTGGCCCCGCCCCGGGGGTCATTGATTTTCTTTATATGTGTATAGCAAAAACTTAAAATCTTCTTTGAAAAAAACCCAAATAGCTAAGAGTTTAGATATTAAGCATGAAACATCTTCTAGTAAGTGTCTACAAAGTTTGTTCAAATAAAAGCCCTGGGGTCAAAACTGGCCGGGCCCCAGGGGTGTCATTGTTTTTAACTATATGTGTATAGTAAAAACTTTAAAAAAATCTTCTTTTAAAAAGCCCAATGAGCTAGAGCTTAGATGTTTAGCATGAGACATCTTCTTATGGGTGTCTACCAAGTTTGTGCAAATAAAAGCCCTTGGGTTAAATTGGCCCTGCAACGTTGGGGGGGTGGGGGTTGGGGGGGCCTATATACAGGTGAGCGACCTCAGGGCCATCATGGCCCTCTTGTTTTTGAAACCTTTTTCAGACCTGTTCACAAAAAATTTCTACCATCTAGTAGTTCATATAAAAATTCAGACTTGTAATATATTATTTAAAAGCACAGACATATATACACTAATTAATCTGTATGATAAAAGTATGTCTGCAAAACTTTCTGACTAATACATTGGATTTTTCTTTTGTCAAGTTGCACAGTTTGTAATTGTAATTCAGTGAAAAAGGAAGCCAAATTTTGTTCTAGTTCCACTTGAGTAATTGCCCTTTTTACATCTTTTTACATTTTTTGCATTAAAGCTTTATGCTTTTCTGTGACTGATTGAATTTTCGAACCATTTTTGTGTCGCCTCTACGGAGTAGTGGCGACATATAGGGATCACTTCTCCGTCGTCTGTCTGTCCGTCTGTCCGTCACAAAACTTGTCCGGACTACTCCTCATAAACTACTGGTGCAATTTCATCCAAACTTTACAGGAATGATCAGTACCAAGTCTAGTTGTGCATATTGTCAGCATTTTCCGGTTCAATGATTTTTGTCAGAGTTATGGCCCTTTAATAATTTTTAATTTTAAAGTTTGTCCGGACTACTTCTCTTATACCACTAATGCAATTTCAATGAAACTTTACAGGATTGATCTGTAGCTCAAGCCCTTGCGCATATTGCACGGGTTTTCCGGTTGAATAATTTTTGGCCGAGTTATGGCCCTTTGATAAAAAGGTGTTTTTTTCTGTGTGTTGCCAGATACACAAAAGCTTGTCCGGACTACTCCTCATAAACTACTGGTGCAATTTCATCCAAACTTTACAGGAATGATCAGTATCAAGTCTAGTTGTGCATATTGTCAGCATTTTCCGGTTCAATGATTTTTGTCAGAGTTATGGCCCTTTAATAATTTTTATTTTTAAAGTTTGTCCCGACTACTTCTCTTATACCACTAATGCAATTTCAATGAAACTTTACAGGATTGATCTGTAGCTCAAGTCCTTGTGCATATTGCACGGGTTGTCTGGTTGAATGATTTTTGGTCGAGTTATGGCCCTTTGATATACAGTACGCTCACCGCGGGTTTTGCTTTTTCCGCGATACCACCGCGGACGATTTTTTTTATCGCGGACAAACGCGGGGGTTCGTCCGCGATGAGAAGCCTAATTTCCCCGCGATCCCCGGTGTTCAGTTGTTTCCACCGCGGACAAAATTCTGACGACCGTTCTTCATTTATCGATAAAATCAGTCACCCGTTTCCCGCGGGGGAACGCCATGGTCAGTAGGTTAGTATAAATTAACCTCCAAAAATAATGGACGTTTTATTATTTTTTTAACGTCCTTTTTTTTTACACAATGACTTGAAAATTGACCACAATCGTTTTCTTAAATATTATTATACGTTAAATTATTTGAACGGAATTTGAAATAAAAATAATTACAGTTGTACCTGTTTTTGTTGTTGTTTTTAATATTTTTGTTATAAACGCCCACAAAACTATTCGTCCACATACCAATATTTTTACAACTGAAATCGTCATTTATCACTGTCATCTTTACTTGTTCATTCCTTGTGGTTCTATAAGTATTATTGCTGTTAAACAATATGGGAGCCATAAATATGATACTTAGTAAAAACAGGACATTTGTGCTGATTTCTCAATGATGACTGACGCTACAGTACATGTCCTGTAAGAGGTCGATGAGTGTGAATACAAGTTTAACAAAATTCTGCAAAAAAAATCTATAAAAAAATAAAAAAGAACAAGCAAACAAACTACTAAAACAAAAATGAAAATAAACTTCAACAGTTGATACAAACTTCAAAACATATACATTACGCTCACACCTGTAATTAGATAAATCAAGAATATCATTTAATGTATATTTTGGTGAAATAAACGCTTTCTTTTAATATTCCAAATAATATATAAGACTTTATGATCAACATGCAAATAAACAGAAACAGTAAAACGCATCTGACAATTGAAAGAGACGTCCTGGAATATTGCCTGAATAAAATTGTTGAGGGTTACGTTTTCAAAGTTTTTAAATAAGAAACAAAAGCTGGCATATAAATTGTTGTAGTATCTTTTTCATAAATGTCATATGCCGAATTTTTCATTATTTGACTTCAAGTTTCTCACTACCATGAAGTTGCGACGACAATGATTTATCTTGATGTCGAATACATATTATACATTACCCAACACAATAACAAGAAGAAGAGCAAGAAAAACACTGCATTTGTACATGTACTTTTATTACAACAAAAAAGAAAGAAAACAAACAAATTTTACATATAGTTACATGTATATGTACAGTACATGTTACAGTACATGTACGTACATATACTGATGTTTAAATACAGTAATTAATTTTTAAAATTTAAGGTTTCCACCGCGTTGACCGGTGTTTGACCGCCGCGTTCCTCCGCAATTTACCACTGCGTTCCGCGGGGAAAACGGTTTCAGCCGCCGATTTATGTCCGCGGTGGTGAAAATTTTCTGTCCGCGGGGTCACGCGGACAATATCTGAGCAAATTTTCGTCCGCGGTAAACCTCATCCGCGGGGTCACGCGGGTTTTGAAAAAGCCGCGCTGAGCGTACTGTATAGGTGTTTTTTTCTGTGTGTTGCCAGATACGCAAAAGCTTGTCCGGACTACTCCTCATAAACTACTGGTGCAATTTTATCCAAACTTTACAGGAATGATCAGTACCAAGTCCAGTTGTGCACTGTCCGTCTGTCTGTCCATCTGTCACAAAATTTGTCCCAACATGAAATTGGCCATCATGAGGCGACACATGTGATTACTGATCGCTCTTGTTACTTTTAATTGCGATAGATAAACTCCAAATTATTTTTGACATTTTGTCTTATGTTGTTATAATATTCGCAAGTTGAAAATACCGCTAATCTAGGTTGTATCATAGTTTGGGGACCTTTCTGTTTAAAATGTGTCAGAGTTAAATCGTATACATGTACATGCACAGTGTGTTAACTGGAGTGCAGGTATTAGTTACCCGCACTCCAGAGCTTGCCCATTGATTGGCTCATTTTTGCCGGGGTTTACTTATTGTGATGGCAGAGAAAGGGAAAGCGTCAGAAATATCATATTCAGATGTCGTTCATTGGTTACCTTTTTCCGGGGTTTCATATTGTGACAACAGGGAATGTGTTTTTATGCTTGACTATGATACAAAAGAGAAAGAACATCAAAACACTTGGCAATCTGATTTATACTCAGGGGCTATGCCCCCCTTGTACAAAACAGCCTCGTGTTTCGATGCTCTTTCTATTACTAGTATCTGTTACGAGCCAGGCGTAACGAGAAAGAAAAGCCAGCAACAAACTTGTAACAATAACAAATTTATTACAGAAAAATTATTAAAGAAAAATAAAATAACAAATTATCTTTACAAATACCTGAAGTCCAAATAAAAATTACAAATGTCTAGTCTGATCATGGAATGATCCTTTTTCAATAGCACAGTTAAATCCAAGTTAAATCCAAGAACACTTTAGAATAAATTCCCACAATAAAATCCACAAGAATAATTAATAATCCAAGCTCCAATAAATCACTTAATTTCCAAGTTGAATAATACTCCAAATATATTGATGACTTAAAAGATCACTGATGACTAAAAAGGTAACTGATGACTTAAAGATAAGAGTAATGAAAAATGTCTCCTTATATATATTAACTAAGAAGTTTCTAGAATAGTCTTCCATTTACTACAGTAATCATAATCTAGCAACTTCAACAATAAAGATCATTCCAGAAATTTCTATCTAAATATAATGCATGAGTTTTCCACAACAGTTAAGAACGTTCTAGTACATACATGTAGTTTATGTTCTAAAAATAGAACAATGACAATATTGGAAATACCAACTGGTCAGATATAATCTATATACATGTAATATGTTGCATACATAACATATCCCACTATGTAATTTTTAGAACCAATTTGCTTGATGATCTAAATAACTCCCATAAAATGTGTCCCGGAAAGTAGCCTTGAAATTATGGCATGTATACATTGTATGCAGCAGGTAAGATGGAAAGTGATCAACATAGCTTAATCTGTTTGATGTATCTTTAAACAAACACATCTTAATATAAGTAAAGCATAGGTTTCTAGGGTCAAAATTATAGATCACTCACCAAAACCCATAACTCTAACGTTGATTGTTTCTCTTTGTGAAGTAATTAAATTTCTGGTAAATATTTTGAGTGCAGCTTTACTTCTCATTAAGAACTGATGTATTTCGTTTAAAACATTACACATGTCTTCACTGACCTTGACCCTTAATTCTATTGTAGATCATTACTGAAATGCACTGTTGAGTCAGCTTAAACAATGGATCTGTAACTCCTTTGAAATTTATCATTTGAAAGGGTGAATAAAAGTCAAGGATTTGTAGGTTCTATATCTCTTATTTTTCTGTTGACACAGCATGTATCTTAGACAAGACTATAGCTAGTTCAATACAATCAATCATCTAAGTAACCAAGTAACCACACTCTGAAAATACATAATTAACACATTCTAAATATATATTACATTTAACATTCTTGAATTGCATAAATCAATCAATCACAATCAATTGCATAAATCAATCAATCATATTCAATTGCATAAATCAATCAATAATCATTCCAGTGGCTTTTAATTAACATCAAACATTTATCATACAATATCATAAAAGACTTGTACATTTACAGCAATATATCACACTCACCAGTTTATGGAACTAAGTGTTTACATCAACACAAATACAATATACTCTCTTCTCTCTCTCTCCAGTGTGCTGTTACTATCCTGCAAATTATAGTAAACAATGTGCATAGAGTTTGAATAGAATGTGAGATTATTTATTTATTAATTAGTTGAGAAAAGAAAGATATGATACTGCAATATTAAACCAGTCCTTAGAGTCCAAAAATAAGACACAGCAACCATTTAAATTACTTATTAAATTCACTATCATAATTCAATTAAAAACAACATTAAGATAAACAATACTTAATGCTTTGGAAATCATCAAAAGCAGTTTAAACTTTACATACCTTATAAATAATACTGATATTCCATAAATCACAAAAATTTAAAAACCATGAGGACAATGTACATGTCTCTTCCTAGAAAACGTGAGCTCAACTGAACACAATAGTCACATGATCAAACTGGCGGGAAATCATAACCACTGACCCATACAATAACACTGGTCCAAGGGAAACAACTCTCTTAATGACATATAATAAAGACTGACAGATTGTGTCCCTGTTACACACTTCCCTGCTATGGAAAATGACGTCCCGTCATTATCAAATCATACCAATAAACAATCAGGATAACAAACTACCCAGAACAAAACTACACCAATATAATACTTCATCAGCCATCTCGAAACCATTAAACAAACAAACTCAACCCTTAATTAAGAGTCAATACATATCATTTCAGTGTTAATGTTGACATTATCTTTTATATATAATTCAGCATTGACAATTATCTTTATAATTATCAACATTGAATAAATGATGTTATATAGTCAAATAATTACTTTTGCTCCCCGCCTTTTTAATTGCGACCTCGCAATCCAATAACCGCGCAAAAAGATAAACTTTTTAAAATATCACACACTTTCAATATAAATCAACATATATTTTATTGCAACATTTTACATGTTAATTTATTATCAAAGTACATTATAAGTACATATTAATGACATAATATAATAAAAACATATTGCATAAAAACATTAAAATCTATGACTTCTTCTCAGAGAGGGAATTCAAAATTTGTTGAGCTACTTGTATGTCAATTCTGTTAAGTACTCCAGAGTTCATCAAGACATCTAATGCTTGTAATTTGGAGTCATAAGGTCTTGGCACCATCTGATACATGTAAAATTCTTCTTGCCATTTCGGTTTTCTTTTTTCTCTTCTTGATGTTCTAGGTGTTGGGGTTGGAGTTGGACTTGTTGCTATACTATGACGAGGTCTTGGCCGAGGTCTTACACTTTCTGTAGTTTCTTCTTCTATATCATCTGTTTGTTCTTCTGCTGTTACATCATGTTGATCTGTATTATCTTGTATATCCTCTGTAGTTGCTCCTTCTATGTCAGGATCATCAGATGTTGTAGATATATTTTCTTCTGTGGGAAGTTCAACCTCTACAACTCCTTCCTTTTCTTCTTCTATATCTGTAGATATATCTTCAGACTCTTCTGTATCATCTAATCTTTCTTCTGTATCTTCTATTCTTTCTTCTGACTGATTGTTCTCTTTCTTCTCAACACTATTCTTGTACTTCATAGGATTATGGGCGTCCCCACTGATATATGTATTAGATACATATTCGTCTCCTATCTCTTCCTCATCTTCTGAATCTTCATCTTTAGTGACGTCACATTCTTTATCTTCTTTTTCTTGATCCTTCGATGTATCTTCTTTTCTCTTCTCATCTATTTGTTCAATATGTTCTTCAGTTTCAGTTCTTTCTCTTGATTCTTGTCCTTGGACTAGAAACAGGTGATTTCTATGCAAAACTTTAATCGTTCCTGACTTTTCTGCTTTAATCCTAAATACAGGGATATCTTCACATATAACAATTAAATGTCAATGTCACTTTTTAAATAATTAAAATTTAATGAAATAGTCCTAAATTAATGTTGTTTCCTCTGTAAGGTCCGTCGTCTGGTTCCCAAATGAAATAGATACGCTCTCCAAAGGTAAAAGTATCGTCTGCTTCTCTTCACAGGTGGAAGGTAGAAATAATCGTCTGGTCCCCAAATGAAATAGGTCTGCTCTTCAAAGGTAAAAGACGAAATAATGGTAAATCGTCTGATTTAATCACTTAAAATAGTGTCCGATATCTGCTTCTATTTAAAGATTTGACAATAAACTGTCTGTTTCTATGTCAAATGCAGGTTGTTGTTTAAATACATGTGAAAAATTAATCCTTGTATGTTACATAAAGTTGTTTTCCACAGATAAAAGGTTGATACACATATAAATCCAATTATATCTTGATTAAAGGATCAGTTGAACAAAGATCAATATCAGTGTCTCAAGATGTGTCAATCACTATGTAACACAGTAAAAGTTCTGGTAGTTGAGTGAAATTCAAATACTTTTGACAATTAACACTTCAATATATGTAAAAGATACGATAAAAGTCTATAAAACGTCACACGTAATCTGTACTTAATAATATCCAATTCACTTATTTACTGAGAATCTTTCATTCACCAATCCGGTTAAGTTAAATTCACTTGTCAGCACTTCTCGTCTAAACAGGCTGCGCCACTGGTCCCCCGTTGGGCGCCATTGTAACTCCTTTGAAATTTATCATTTTGAAAGGGTGAATAAAAGTCAAGGATTTGTAGGTTCTGTATCTCTTTTATTTTCTGTTGACACAGCATGTATCTTAGACAAGACTAGTTCAAGTTCAATACAATCAATCATCTAAGTAACCAAGTAACCACACTCTGAAAATACATAATTAACACATTCTAAATATATATTACATTTAACATTCTTGAATTGCATAAATCAATCAATCAATCATATTCAATTCAATTGCATAAATCAATCAATCATATTCATTCCAGTGGCTTTTAATTAACATCAAACATTTTATCATACAATATCATAAAACACTTGTACATTTACAGCAATATATCACACTCACCAGTTTATGGAACTAAGTGTTTACATCAACACAAATACAATATACTCTCTTCTCTCTCTCTCCAGTGTGCTGTTACTATCCTGCAAATTATAGTAAACAATGTGCATAGAGTTTGAATAGAATGTGAGATTATTTATTTATTAATTAGTTGAGAAAAGAAAGATATGATACTGCAATATTAAACCAGTCCTTAGAGTCCAAAAATAAGACACAGCAACCATTTAAATTACTTATTAAATTCACTATCATAATTCAATTAAAAACAACATTAAGATAAACAATTACTTAATGCTTTGGAAATCATCAAAAGCAGTTTAAACTTTACATACCTTATAAATAATACCGATATTCCATAAATCACAAAAATTTAAAAAACCATGAGGCCAATGTACATGTCTCTTCCTAGAAAACGTGAGCTCAACTGAACACAATAGTCACATGATCAAACTGGCGGGAAATCATAACCACTGACCCATACAATAACACTGCTCCAAGGGAAACAACTCTCTTAATGACATATAATAAAGACTGACAGATTGTGTCCCTGTTACAGATCTTTCAGTTATTAACTGTGAAAAGTCTAGCCCCATCTTTTCTTGTCAATGCTAAGTCAATTGTGAACAAACAGTATTACAAACAACACCATGTGTTCTTTTTTGTAAACCAGGCAAACAGTGACAAAGAATTATCCCAGTGTAGCAATTGGATAGCCAATCCGCCATTTTGCATAATACGGTAAACACTTGAAAGGTCCATTCTATCATGGTCCTTATTTAGAGTAATTGAGCATGCTGTTTTGTGACAAGTTTGGTTAAAATCATAATGATTTTATATTGCTGACGCAACTACTTTATTTACAGATGAGGACATTGTTTATGGAGTGAAATCCAAGCCAGAGACAAAATACATCTGGAATAAACACTTAACTGATATATTCAAGGAAGAAGTTCACCCAGATTGGGTGTTACATCTTGTTTATGGTTTTATAGCGCAATGCAGTATCCTTTCTTGGAGTTTTGTTTTACTTTTTGTAAACCTAGATTTGTAATTATCTTGGTTAATTTAATTTTTAATTTTCTAGTTATACATGTATTAAATGGATTTCATTTTTGTACAAACAATTACTGGTAATTAATTCTTGTATACCTTTAATACAGCATCTATAGTTATTTTATATAATGTTAACTGACTTCATTCTATTTCCAGTTAATTTTCATTGACTCATTATTAATATGTACTAAGTATGCTGTAGCTAATAATAAAAATAATTTCCCTATTGTACATGTAGTTTGCTGATTCCCAATACATGTAGATTGAAGTTTAATGATTCCTTATTAAATTAAAGTTAACTGTGATCTCCAATAGAAGTTAACTGATTCCAGATTGACACTTTATTATATGACTTACTGATCCCATTATAAAGTTAAATTGATTTACAGTGCTGTTGAAGGGTAGTGATAGATAGTTTTCACAGACTAAAATACTTTGCAAATTCTAAAAAATTTTAAATAAATTTTATCATTGAAAAAGGCAAACTGTGTCATTTGGAAAGTTTTCTGCCTTGATAAGTGATTTTAACTACAGATTTAACTGTATTTTACTAATTTCTTACCATTACCATACTAAATATTATTTAAATGAACTTGTCTGTCTTTCAGTTTTGACAAAACAATTCATCATTTTAGGAAAAATTTCAGAATATCTATTATCTACTGACTGAGTAGTGAACAGTGCAGACCATAGTCATGATGCACAAGTGTTTCGGATAATTTTGGTGTGCACTGATCAGGTTACATGGGTAGATCCAGTTGCAGCAAGCACGCCAAATGTTAAGATTACTTGCCAATGCCTTAACATATTTTAGATCTCTACATCTATGGCAAGTCTGTCTATGTAGCACTGATAGCAAGAAGATCTAACGAGTATGCTGGTACAAGATTTCTTAAAAGAGGGGCAAATAGTCAGGTACGTACAATTGTTCTGTTGTACTGTTACAACTTACCAACTTTTACATTGTATAATTTGTGTGACAGGTTATTAAATTTGATTATTTTGGGGGTTAACGAGACCTCTTAGCATTATAAATAGAGAATCGCCCTTTTTCAAAGCCAGTACAATTTTAGACATTTTTGAAATAACATGTTTTACTCAGAAGCGGTGACTATATTACAACCGAAATGAACTGTATGGGCAAGCATAATACTTGAGCCGCGTCATGACCAAAACCAACATAATGGGTTTGCGACCAGCATGGATCCAGACCAGCCTGCGTATCCGCTCAGTCTGATCAGGATCCATGCTGTTCGCTATCAGTTTCTCTACTTGCTATAGGGATTGTAAGCGAACAGCATGGATCCTGATCAGACTGTGCGAATGTGCAGGCTGGTCTGGATCCATGCTGGTCGCAAACCCATTATGTTGGTTTTGTCATGACGCGGCTCATATATAGTAAATACTCAGTTAAACGGATGAGCAGTTGAAATATGCATATATATACTACATTGTGGTACATTGTTACTTTTGAAATATTATATTTACACCTTTAAACCAGATATTTATGCAATTGTACCAGATATTTATTAAATTTTTTATTGTCTGTTAGTTTTAACTAGGATGATAACTTGTAAGAACAGTAGAGGTGATAAACAAAATTGGCACTTAAAGTGTAGTAAGTGTTCATCCTTATTTCTTCTATAGAAATTATATAGAAAAGTCAACAGGAGTGACTGGAGAATGATTACTAATTTCTATAGAATTGTAATGTATGAATACTAATATACTTAGTGGGAAGGTCTATTTGACATTTACAAAAATGCATTGCTAAAGGTTATCATTAACATAGCGCATGGAAAAAAAATCAGCCTACATGTGGTTCAGTTAGCTCACATTTTAAATTCATGCCTCAACATAAAAAGAAGAATACATGTATGTAGCAAGGTGTAGGTGACTGTTATTAAATACTTACTTGCAATATTAACAGACTTGCAATATTAACAGACTTGCAATATTAACAGACTTGCAATATTAACAGACTTTCAATATTAACAGACTTTCAATATTAACAGACTTGCAATATTAACAGACTTTCAATATTAACAGACATTCAATATTAACAGACTTGCAATATTAACAGACTTGCAATATTAACAGACTTTCAATATTAACAGACTTGCAATATTAACAGACTTGCAATATTAACAGACTTGCAATATTAACAGACTTGCAATATTAACAGACTTGCTATATTAACAGACTTGCAATATTAGCAGACTGATTTAATTTATCAACCAGGACAAGACAGAAAATGTGCTTTCATCATGTATTCATGTAAATGCATACAAATTACTGCCACCTGGTTAATATGAATATTTGTGTAAAATATAAATAAATTTGTCTGAATTTCAATATTCGGTAGTTAAGATCCAGTTATGTGGGGACATTCACATGGAAAAATCCTAGATAAATACCACCCCACTGCGAGATGGCCTTTTTATAAAAAAATTTCAAAGCACAAAAACTATCAGTATTTCTTGCATTAATTCAACTTGTTTGTTTGCCTGGGAGGTAAAACTGAAATGCCTTTTAAGGCCTGATATGGCTGACAGACCAGTCAGTATTTTATAGAAAAGGTGTCATTTTTTTCTATTTTGGACAATGAATGGAGAATAGTATTTATTTTGGGTTACTTTTTCAGTCTGTATAAATGGTAAAGCATATCTATTTGTATCACATTCTTTCAAAAAGGACAGTTCTTGTTCCCTTTTGTCAAATTGTTAACACAGTCATAAAAACACCAGAAAGTTGTAACTTGCATGACTGTTCACATCACTTCATTGGCCTATGTTGTTGCTCCAATTTTTGAAAACATTTGAGCCGCGTCATGACAAAACCAGCATAATGGGTTTGCGACCAGCATGGATCCAGACCAGCCTCCGTGCAGTCTGATCAGGATCCATGCTGTTTGCTTACAGACCCTATAACAAGTAAAGAAACTGATAGCGAACAGCATGGATCCTGATCAGACTGCGGGGATGCGCAGGCTGGTCTGGATCCATGCTGGTCTTTTGGTTTTGTCGTGACGCGGCTCATTTGTAAAACCAGATAACTGGATTGTCTCTCTATCACTATGTAACAGAGTACTTTCTATTAACTATAAAAACTTTCTATGAACAAATTTTTACATAGTACAAGTCATGACCTTTGTTTTCGATATCACATCTTATAAAATTGTCGAAAACAATAAGTTACTGTACATACCTATTATTTGGTTTGAAGTGAATAGTGTCATCTTTTTCAGAGGATTGTTTCTGGGTCTTACATGAATCCCACATTTTCTATTGTTGCTAATAAGCAAGACACGATTGAAACATGAAACTTTCGCAAAGATAAAGTACAGTCCGCAATTTTCATTTTCAACTCCATCAAACACAATTAGCATTGCCAGTTAATATTTTATAATATGAATTCATAATATTCATTCCTTTTCTGGTTATCTTCAAATATTTTGATACTTTATGATTTTATCATAAAAATGCATGCTTTGTTTTTCCTAGATTGTAGAAATATATTTTTTTAAGTGACACATTTTAAAATGTATGAACGAATGACATTAACATAATACTGTAATATTTGAACCCCCTTTATGAAGTAGATTGCTTAACTGGAGGCTTTGTGTTGTTATAAAGACACCAAATTAATTTTAAGATTGCCTGTTTGAAGGAAAAGTTGAGATGAAAAAGCTATGATTGCTGCTTGATTGTTTTCATGCAAAAACTTTACTGTATCAAATAATTAAAACATTTTAAAAGTTACTTGTCAAGGTGCAGGTTTTTATGCTCAGTGGAGTTCCTTTAATATGTATCTTGATATTTCTTTTTGTTATTATTATTTTTTCAGGGCTCTGTAGCAAATGAAGTTGAAACAGAGCAAATTGTTTATGACACATCAGTAACAGACCTTCACAAGAGTAAGATAGCTTCATTTGTCCAAATGCGAGGCTCGATACCCGTGTACTGGTCACAGGATATCTCTAAAATGGTGCCGAAACTGTTTTTATACAGTGTAAGTTTAGTTTAAAGTGGCATTATCCCATCCAAGACAATGAAAAAATGAGCATAATGTCACTTTAAACATATTTATTTAACCCTAAGCATTTTTAATTATCTTAAATGGACTTGTCCATCTTTTAATTTGGACATAAAACATTTATCATTTTTGGGGAAAATATCAAAATGTTTACTGACTGAATCAGAAACCTATAGTTTCTGTAAGTAATGAGCTTTCTTGGAATATGTGGAAAATGATCCATGTAAGGAAACTGTTAAGTTAGCTAAAATAAGGTCAGAGGTTGTAAACTAACCATTCTGTCTACCTTTGACTTACATCATAAATTGTACATTGTCAGTTGGGGCGTCCCTGGCCGAGTGGTTGAGGTCATTGACTTCAAACCACTAGCCCCTCACCTCTGTGGGTTCGAATCCCTAAAGGGACTTTGGATTCTTTCATGTGAGGAAGCTATCCAGCTAGCTTATGAAACATCAGTGGTTCTACTAAGGTGCCCGTTCTGCTGAAATAATGCACGGAAGGGCACCTGAGGTCTCCTCACCAGTAAAGCTGGAACGTTGCTATATGACCTATACTGTGTGATGTGACGTAAAATCCAAAACAAACAAACACTGTCAGTTACAGTTTAAGTGCAACAATGATTCTTTCAATAAAGCTGGAAAGTCACTATTATTATAACCTATAATTTATATTACAAGGGTTTGACATTTAAACCCAACAAGATTTTAAAAATCTAATTTCTTTTTAACTCTTGCCCTGCTAAATGTCTTGATATCTCTGGGAAAGAGCGGTTATCATTTTTAGGGGAAAATTTCAAAAAATTTTACTGACTGAATAGCAGTCAGTGCAGACATTGATCCATGCCATCTGATTTTGGTCTGCACTGGTCACATGGGTTCATTCTTTAGCTATTAGCAGGCTTAGTGTAAATTGTATTTGAGTATGCAACGATCAAATATACTCTATTGATTAAAGGGAAGGTCTTTCAACTGTGTGTTCTAGTTTTTGAAAGTAATATTAAGGTCCAAACTGTTTTTACTTTGGATTGAAACCAAACACAATTCAAGAAAATTTTATGTTTTTTTCTTTTTTTTTCTTTTGGTTTTATGTCACATCGACATAGTATAGGTCATATTGCGACGTTCCAGCTTCACTAGTGGAGGAAGACCTCAGGTGCTGTTAACAATATATGAAAATTTTAGTATTTTTATAACTTTTCAGTGGATCAGAGAGACCCATACTTTCAAACTGCTGGAATTCATTTTAACAAATGTTTATACAGATATGGTTCACCTGTTTTACTCCTGAATCTTGTAAAGGTAGGGGTTTTTATTTTAGTAAAATTTAAA